CGACCGAACCGTTCAGTCAAAATCAAGCACGTCATCAGTGAGATTGCAACACGAGCTAATTTTCAGTAAAAGCTAGATAGATAATGGACCGTAAAAAAGGAAAGGCAGTGCAGAAAAACTTTGAGAAAAAAAGGCTTAGGTCCGATGCTGCTAAATGCGTATTTGAAAACTCTTTTCAAAAGGTTTAAATTCGGCTGCTGCAGAAAACAGAAAATACAGCTAGCACAAGTCATTTTCATACTACTTCTACCAGTTAGCTCGTGTTTTTGTTTTTTTGACAGTAGCCTACATTGTATTAAACAGTTGTAAGCTTAGCGTAGAACCCCAGTATAGTTTAAAATGTCATTGCTTCGTGATAATTGGTTAAGTTAAGTGTTAATGAGCCTGTTGCTGAATTGCATGACTGAAATATCAGCAGATAAAGTGGGATTTAGGGTAAAAACTGATGTAGGTTACTTGCAATAGTCTAACACATCAAAAACCAATAGCAATAGCCATAGTACTATAGACATTTGTAGTGAACTTTACTTTGAATATGTAGATAGTCATATATTAAAATAAAACATTGAGCATGCATACAGTACATAAGTTTACAGTATGCAATTAATCCTTAGGTAGGGTGGACTGCAGAGTCAAGTGTTATGGAGGTAGGAAGACACAATGAGAGAGACACAACCTGATACAGATGCTGCCAGTTTCTTAATATTGTGGCTCTAATTAACTATTAATTAACTCTTAGGATAGGAGGAACCTTGTCCTGTGTCTCTCTCTCACACACACCCACACCCACACCCACACACACACACACACACACACACAGAGAGAGAGAGAGAGATCACACACAAATGCACATGCAGCACATACTAGCAACACTTCAGCATACTTTAATTCACAAATAATTGTGCTGCTGCTGCTACTATTTATAGTTTTTTCTATATATTATATTCCCTTTTTTGCTATTATTACTTGTTTGTATTCATGTGTATTCCAATGTTGAGAGCAGTCAGTGAGAAAATATTTTGCTGTAATGTTTAAGTCCTATACTGTGTTCATTAACTAGGATGTTGCTGGAATCAGTACAGCCAGAGACCCCTGGTCTTTCAACACCAGTGCTGTGAGGAAGGATGCTACAGTAGGCCAAGCAGAGACAGGGAGGAGTATGGTAGAGGTAGGTAAAACCCAACAGACAGACAGTGACAACAAAGAACAACATACTGTAGTGAATGACAGTAACAGCAGACAAATGGCATAAACAGACAGCACACAGACTCTACAGCATCCTCAGATTATTTTTTTGTTTGTTTTTACTGTATGTGTAAATTAGTTATAAACGTGTGCTCTTTAAAAAGTAGTAAGCATTGTTTGCCAGACACATACATGAAATGTTTAAATATCTGTTACATATATGGTACTGCTTATATTATTTCACCATCTGTACACAAATGTATGTAGTGAATGTGTGTGTCCGTGCGTGGGGCTGTGTCAGTGTGGTAATGTGGGCCGGTGTGGCTACAGTGCAAGGGCTGAATTTTTGTCCCAGTCCGCCCCTGGCTGAAACCACCATCCATCTTTGATGCAGATTAACATAGGATTAACAAGCAAGAACATTTCCCACAGAGTATCACAATTTATTAGCATTTTCATTCAACTCTTCAAGTACACACAATTAAAACAGAAAGTACTATGTAACTAAAGATCAGTGTTTTACAGGCAACTGTATA